CTGGCTGGCAGCCTCAGCTCTGCAGGACAGGCACTTGGCTGACACCTCCCAATTGTCAGATGGAGAGGGTGGTTCTCAGGGCCCCACAGGAGTTTCTGTCCCCGGTGAGGTCACCGCTTGGTCTGGCGCCACCAGAGCCCTCATGGTCTCTGGGTGCCACGCTGCCCAGAAAGCTGCAGGGAGGGTTCTGGGCGTCTGAGTCCCTTGCTGCTCACACCTGGGCCGGAGTGGAGCGGAGGAGAAAGAGTCCTCCCTGCTGCTGCATGCTGACCGGCCCATCTCAGCCAGATACCCTGTGACTACAAGCAGCAAGAGCCGCCCGAGGCTTTAGGAGCTGGACCTGTCTGGTGCTGCCTGCCCAAGGCTGGAGCATCTTCAGGACCATGGCCAGCTCCTCTTCCCGGGATGGTAAGAGATGTAGGTGGTGGTCAGGGTGGGTCTCGGCCACCCCGCGGCTCCACGCTCCTCTGCGGTCTGGATGGGGGAGGCGGCCGGAAGTGGCTACAGCTCCTCCGTGATGCCAACAGCGGATGGAGCTCCGAGCCTCCACCCTTGGACAGGGCTGGGCTGATGGTCTGCAGCCAACCTGGGCTGATTCCAGAAGGGACGCTTGTTGGAAAGATGTTTTCCACCCAATGGTGGTTCTGATCCTCTTCCTTCCTGTTGTAACGCCGGGTCATTCCCTTGAGTTCCATGCTGGGTGGGGAGGTCCACGTCCAGATCTCCAGGACGCTTCAGGAGACAGCACAGGGCGGCCTCCATTCCATTTATTTCTCCTCCTCCTCCTCTTCCTCATTTCCCTCCTCCTGATCACCAAGGGTGTATCAGAGTTTCTGTACTCCCCCCAGGACCCTGGAACACTGTCATGGGGATCCCACCTATTTAACTCTCCCTCCCTCCAAAGCTACCAGCTAGGGTAGAGGGCTCCCCATGAAAGACTCCTGCCCCAGGGGTCACAGTGCAAAGAGGGCACAAGCTAGGGTCTTGCTGAGCGCCCCCATCCTAGTACCCACCTGTCTTACTCAAGGTTCTCTAGAGAAATAGAATTTATATCTATTCTATTATGTGTTTGGAGCCCTGGTGGTGCAGTGGTTAAGAGCCCAGCTGCTAACCAAAAGGTCGGCAGTTCGGATCCACCAGCCGCTCCTTGGAAATCCTATGAGGCAGTTCTACTCTGTCCTGTAGGGTTGCTATGAGTCAGAATCCACTCGACTGCAACCAGTTTTTATTATATGTTTGTGTGTGTGTGCGTACAGAGAGAGAGAGACGTTTATTTTCAGGAAACAGCTCACTTGCTTGTGGGAGCTGGCAAGTTGGAAATCCATAGGCCAAGCAGAGGGCTGGAAACTCCGGCAGGATGTCTATGTTACAGTCTTGAAGCAGAATTCCTCTCCCTTGGATACCTCAGTGTTTGCTTTAAGGCCTTCACCTGATCGGATCAGGCCCACCCATACTGTGGAGGGTGGTCTGCGTTCCTTAGGGTGGGCTGATTTCAATCACAATTACAAGATACCTTCACAGCAGCTTCTACACCAGTGTTGGACCAAACCACTGAGCACCCTCACCCAGCCAAGTGGACACACGAAGAACCACCACACCCCCTGCCCCGGCCCCTCTGCAGGCACTTCCCCACAACACAGTGGCAGCTCTCCCACACTGCCTCACCCCACACCCACCCCGGGCCTGCAGACAGGCAGCCACACAAAAGCACTTAAGCCTTTTCCAAAAATCCATTACTGCCTTGGAGCCTGGATAGCATGAGCCACCACCCGGCAGCCTGTCTGTCTGCCTGGTGCTGCGGACACAGCAAGAAGGCAGGTGCCAGAGGTGAGGCAGAACTGGGAGCAGTGTGCCCTTCCCCGGGGTCTTACCCATTACCCTATCCCCCACCCAGCCCTCCCTCTCTGGTCTCCTCAATGCAGGCAGGGCCAGGGGCCACGAGCCTGAGTCCCCAGAACTCAGGGGTCACTGTGGTCACAGGGGTGCAGACAGAGCAGAGCAGAACTAGCTTTCTGAGCCTCTCTTGGGGGGGTCTCAGCCTCTCTTGGGGGGTCTCACCCCACCTTGCACTTAGCTGGACAATGGCTCCGAGGAGACCCAGTGAGCAGTCTGCGTCCCCGCCCAGGACCCAGGAGGATGCAGCCTTCAACATTATCATCCTGTGTCTCACCGAGGCACTTGGCCTGGGCGGGCTGCTGAGGAGCGGGGCGGTCCTGGGCCTGCTCAGTGTACTGGAACCCCTCTGCCATCTACCATCTGGGTGTGGCCTCTGCAGACCTCGTCTTCCTGGGCTGCCATATGGTGGCCATCGTCCCCAACCGCTGCAGGGCCACCTGGCCATCCCCAGCTTCATGCAGGCCATCCTGGGCTCCTTGCAGTGGTCCTGCTACCTGGTGAGCCTGGGTCTTCTGGCGGCCTTCAGCATGGAGCAGTGACCTCTTCCAGGCTTGGTACCCCTGCTGCCACCCGCAGCTCCTGAGCACCCGCGTGTGCACGCTGATCGGGGCCTCAACCTGCGGCTGCTCAGTGGCACCTGCACGCAGCTGTCCCCGAAGCCCACCTGTGCCTGGCACGGTGGCTGGCCACAGCCAAGCTGTTCGGCGTCTTGTGTGTGGCCGCCAGTGGGTGCAGCCTGGTGCTGCTTCTGCGGCGGGAGCGCGGTGACCAGCGGCCCCAGCCCTGCCAGTTCCCTGCCCTCGTCCTGCTCTCGGTCCTCCTCTCCCTCTTCTGCGGCCTGCCCTTAGGGGTCTACTGCCTGTCCCAGAACCTGCGCTGGCACATCCCCCCCACTTCTACCACCTCAGCCTCCTCGCAGCTGCCGTGGACAGGGCCGCCAAGCCTGTGATCTACTTCTCCCTCCCCTACAAGGCCCTACCTTGTGAGACCCTCCTCTACAGGACCCTCCCCTACAAGATTCTCCCATACAAGACTCTCCCCTACAAGACCTCCCCTGCGAGACCCTCCCCTACAAGACCCTCCCCTAGGAGACTCTTCCCAATGAGACTCTCCCCTGCGAGATCTTCCCGTGTAAGACCCTCCCCTACAAGGCCCTCCCCCATAAGACCCTACCCTACCAAACTCTCCCCTGCAAGACCCTCCCCTACAAGACACTCCCCTATGAGACTCTTCCCAATGAGACCCTCCCCTGCAAGACCCTCACCTGTAAGACCCTTCCCTACAAGGCCCTCCCCCATGAGACCCTCCCCCGTGAGGTCCTCCCCCACAAGCTCACCTTTTCTCCCACCTTAGCATCCTCACAGCTGCAGGCACATCGCTCTAGAAAACCCAGGGGGATCCCACTTCGCTTCCCCATGTCCCCTCTGCAGAGGCTAAAACCACCCTAAAACTGAAGGCTCATTTAGTTGTGGGTGAGAGAAAGGCTCAGGGAGCCCCCAGCCCTCACCCCAAGGCCAAGCGAGCACCGAGTCTGCCCGCTCCTGTTAGGAGCTATGAGCACAGGTGGACACCAGTTTGAGGTGGGTGTACCCAGCAGCCTACTGAAGCCCCAATGGGAGCCTGAGGCCCATCACTGTGTCACTAAGAGGATGTACATCCACCACCTCCTGGTCACCACAACCACCAGGACAGCCGCCAGGACAGCCACCAGGATAGCCACCAGGACAGACACCAGGACAGACACCAGGACAACACCAGGAACAGTCACGAGGACAGCCACGAAGACAGCCACCAGGATGGCCACCAAGACAGGACCAGGATGGCAACCAGGACAGACACCAGGACCAGCCACGAGGACAGCCACCGGGACGGCCACCAGGACAGCACCTGGAGGGCTACCAGGACAGCACCAGGATAACCACCAGGTCAGCCACCAGGACGGCCACCAGGACAGCACCAGGATAACCACCAGGTCAGCCACCAGGACAGCACCAGCACAGCCACCAGGACAGCCACCAAGACAGCACCAGGACGGCCCTGAACCCAGCTGGTGCGCTCTGGACTGCTGTTCTTCCTTCTGTTTAGAGACGCTTGAAAAGTCACCTGGTCCAGTGCCATGCAAGGCTTCAACCCTCCACAAATTCTGTCCAAAGTGGTTGCCCAGCCCTCTTGTGATTGGCTCATTATCTTGTCACTCTGAGTTTCGGGCGGGAAAATAAGGTGATATCACAAAGTCACCCATTATGTCACCAGAACACGCGGTGCATCGGTCCAAAACGTGGTGAGATGCTGCTCTTCTCGCCTGTGTGATATCTCCCCGGAGAGCAGATTTAGGGGCAGGATTCGGGGCTCAGAGATGGGCTTCCAGAAGGTCTGTTTGGGCCTTTCTGGTCAGCCAGTTATGAAAGGCTGGGAGGCTTGGCGCCATTGGCAGATGTCCCTCCTAGGGCCCCACGTGGCTTCACATGGCCTGTGGGACCTCTACCCGTGGACACCTAGAGCTTCAGCAAAGCCAGCCGCCACTGGGGTGCATCCCCAGAGGGCAGAAGGGAAGTACCCTGGGTGGGCAGAGAGGATGGGATGTGTCGTCCTGCCCACCAGCTGCTGCAGCCTATTTCTGACAGGACAGCGCCCAGGCCTTCAACCTCTGGACGGCTCCCCGCCCTCCCCTCTAGAGGCAGCAGCTGCTCTGTCGCCCCCCCCCCGGCCTCCATCCTTGGTAACCAAATCAGTAGCTGCCCACTCATGAGCCTCTGACTCCTGGCAACCTGTGTGTGTCAGAGTAGAACTGTGCTCAATGGGGTTTTTGATGGCTGGTTTTTCAGAAGTAGACTTCCAGGCCTTTCTTCCAAGCTGCCTCTGGGTGGATTCGAACCACCAACCTTTCCGTTAGTAACCGAGCACGTTAACTGTTTGCACCACCCAGGGACTCCTACTAAGGAGAGTCCCACTAAGAAGCCAGCCCGTGCTGCACCCAGCAAGAGAGTGTTGAGTGTCCCCTGAGTGTGGGGCCTGGGGGCTGGGGAGTGGGTGTCAGGTGACAGCAGGCTTTGGAGCTCAAACGTACTGCCCCAGGCTGAGCCCAGCTCTGACACCACCACTGTGTCCCCGTGGCGAGTCACTCAGCCACCGAGCACCGTTTCCCCGTGTGTACAAACAAGCACCCAGCGAGGTGACGTATGTGAGGTGCTGGGAACTGCTGCGCACACACACCATCCTGGTGACGCCCCGCCCCTCCACCTCCAAGCCCACTGCGGGAGTCTGGGTCCACACACTAGGGCGTCTGGGAGGAGTGCTTTCTGTTTCTGTGAGCGCTGTGAGGGAGCATGGCTCTGACTCCAGGACCCCACGCCTCGCAGAGGGAGGACACTGGTGGTGCTGCGGTGACTGAGCCCAGCCCTACCCCCGCCCTGCAAGTCCAGGTGAGGATGGAAGATGGGTCCCCGGAAGCATGGACTCAGAAGCTCCTCATCTGCCCCCATGGCTGTGCTGAGGCCTGCGGCCTGGCTGGGCTGGTGCTCTCAGCTGAGGTTCCCATAGACCCCTCCCAGACCCCCAGAGTGCCCCCACCCTAGCCCCCATGGACTTTTTCCCCTGCCCCAACGTACTCCCCCAGGTTCCCATGGACCCCCACCCCAGGCTCCCACAAACCCTTGCCCCAGGCTCCCAGGGTACCCTGCTC